CCATGAGTGGTGTTTTGCATTAAAATAAACAATAATGAAAAATTTAGACCTGTGACTGGTAAGTTTGGAATGGTAAATAGACAGCTATAAAATTTTCCAAATTTTGTTTCTACAGAAACTCCTAAGCTTTCAAGAACTTTGGCTTCAAATGAAGAAAAAATTTGACGTCTATGAGTAATGATGGCTACGCCACCAAACCATCAACACGATGATTTCGGCTCTTATAACCTTATGGTCAGGTTTAAGGAACGTTTCAGTTTTAACAGCAATATGCACGCAATGAACCCTCAAAAAGTTAAATAGCTCTATATCTTTAAGAGATCGAGCATTACAACTCTAAATATTTAATTTCCATTTAAAATCCATTACTGAATTTCAAAGTCTTGATTATGTTATTAGAAAGTTTTACTCCAGTTTGAATACCATCAAACTGGAGTTATTCTCCAACATATAAGTAATCATGATTAATGATTTCTGTAAAAAAAAACCATTTTAGGAGCAGTAATGCTGCCTAAGTCAAAATCATCCAAATTTCCGTTAGAATTGGGTTGGCTAGAATATTGTTTTGGATTTCCACCAGGTACAATAACAGCATAGGTAGCTCCATTTACTTGCTCGACATAGTTAGCTAGAATTTTAAGCTTGTGAGCTATTTGTACCTACGGGTACGAATGTACAATTTGTTCCTCGCTGACCGTTGTTAACAGCAGATAAGTTAGTGCCTGGTCGGGAATTTAGAGCGTTTTCTACCTCGCGCTTAGCACGAGATTGTAGAATCGCTTTGCCAGTCTTACATCTCTGGCACTTAAGGCACAGGGTGAGGTTTTGGAAATTTCCTCCAGTATTCCTGAAACGAAAACCAATTTGAAATGAAACCTCGAATTTAACGTTGAAGTTTCGTATGAAGAGCATAGAAAATGGAAGTGGCTACCACAATAGGGAGAACCTTTCCTTCTTGGCATTAAGCCGGGAAAGCTTATTGAATTTTGCTTGAATGATGAATCATTCTCATTATCCGTGAGCATATCAAATTGATTGCTCAAATGGATTTCATCAGAAGGAGGATCAAGAGATTACTCCTTTCTTTTGCGTTTAGGCGCCATGGCGGCAGAACAAAGTTTCTGCAAATCGACCGAGCAGATTAGTATACAAATCCAAAGGATCGAAAAGGAATTTTCGAACTCGATGTTCAAGCAGGATTATCGAACTCTATGATTATCCAACTCTATGTCCAAACAAGGATCGAAGAGGAATAAGATTCAAATAAGGTAGAAAATGTGCTGCCTGTGGGGCCTCATAGCCTAGTCAGTAAAGGCATGGTATTACCAAGCCGGAGGCGGCGGGTTCGATTCCCGGTCCGGTCGAGGGAGTCTTTCGGGTTGGAAATTTCCCTGGGCATAGAGTATCATTGTGCTTGCCACACAATATACAAATTCATGCATTGGTATTGGCATCGAAAGCTCTCAATTAATAACTGTAGAAGTGCATTTAGAACACTAAGTTGAGAGCACGCAATAAGCTAATATGCGCTAAGCAGTACTGTTTAAATTTGTTGTAGCTTTAGATAGCAGAAACACTTCCTTCAGCAAAAAAGCAAATAGCCAAGAGAGCACGATGTGGACTGCCGAACGTATCCTATGGCTTTACCCTCTCCACTAGCAAACCTCCAAACTCTTGTGACACTTATGAAAGGTATTGAGTCACATTAAACGTTCAGCAACACATACAGCATTTAAGAGACATTGCATTTCACACGTTAAAACTTTATTTTGAACAATTACTCAGTGTTTTTTTTTCTGAATAAACATATTATGTATTTTGACGAAGTTATCTCTAACGGATTATTTTGTAATAACGAGTTTTCAATAATTATTGTAGCACTACAAACGCTATGTTTTTCGTCACGAAGGTGATGATGGATTTTTTATATTTGCTTTAATAGTAGTAGTTAATTGAAAAAAAAGTTATTGTGAACAGTTTTCAAAGGTTTGAGCCTCACGCGCATATTACGGATATAGAGGGCTGAATTTAACATTTTATAACAAATGTAACTTTGAAGCTTATTTGAAAGATGCTTTGAATATCAGTTCAGTAAGTTTTCTGGCTAAATGTCGTGGGCACGTGAGCATTCTTGACAGTGCGGAAAATTATGATAGTGTAAAATGATGCATTGTTGCATATTCATGAACTCTTGATCGATAAGAATGCTTGTGAATATTTGAGGTGGACAAAAAGGTGAGCAAAGAGGTGAACGCCCTAAGCTTTTTCACATTTATTTCGCTGTTAAGCAACTGAAAATTGTTGAGGGGATTTATATTTGTAACTGCAACCAGCTCGTTTTGTTTGCAAATCTTGTTAAGATATCATACTTAACTATCTAAAAGATAAATCGTCCACCATCAGAGGTCATAGAGTTCTTTGCATGTCTTCTTATTAAATGTCCAACTAACAATCCTTCCCTTCCCCAGCAGTTGTAAGAACGTGGATAGGATAGTTTTCGATTGTTGGAGATAGATAGAGGCCGAGATCAATCCCAAATCTCGGTCAACACGGTAACGGATGGAGGTGGCAATACTCTCAAAAACAATGGACTCTTACCACCTACAAGTTTGTGCAACCTGCTTAATGCGAATGCGATGAATATAAAAATATAAAAATAAAAAGAAAACTTGCAATAACAGCGCATACTTCACTTTACTGTAGCATCTCGGCGTCATCAACTTCATTAACGAATCAAATAGGCATCAAAACTTCGAAGAAGAATGTTATTAAAATATCACTTTGTTGTGTTATTCCACCTTATGTTAGCAGCTTTCAAGGTTTAAAAATTCTAAAATTTCGAGAAACCTCAGGAATTTTGCAAAAATCTCGGGATTTCCGGGCAGGACCTCTTATCTAAAACTCCTTTATATGAAGGGGCCTGGGATATATCCTGGGATATATCAGTTTGGACTTCACACAATTCTACTTTTAAGTGATGTTCATTGTTTGGATTTGGTCCTTACTTAGGATGGGAACAGAACTTTTATTGCCTCCACATCAAACTGGATGTACTTCAATCGTGTCAAAAATATGGTGTAATATTACTTGCCAAAAAGGACAAAATTGTTATTAATACAGTGCATTGAACTTACATTACGCTGCTTTTACTGCATTCGTTTATTTTTGTGCCCATAAAAATAACATGACATGATTGAAGTGCATCCTCTTGGATGTAATATAAATATTTATTTTTTGCTGTGTACTCGTTCACGAATGTGCCACGCAATTTTTCACCCCAAAACTTTCTTCCCACGACCAAGATTTGTTCACCTTCGAGAAATCCAAAACGACCTCGGCTGGGATTAAACCCAGACACACTGGGGTAAGAAAGCATTGTTTTTTTTTAGGTTGTGAAAAATGGGGTAAAATGGCCATATGGGGCAAGACGAGCATCACAACTTTTGACAGTTAATTTGGTAGACATGTGTAAACCATTCCGTTAGTATATTCTCATGCTGCGTACATAGTGGGAGATTTATGGGAGTGTTTAAAAAAGTAGTAAAAATTATAACATTTTGATGATAGAAAATAAGGTTTAATTCGAACATTGGTTACAATAGCATAATGTTACCTTTGTTCAATATTGTATGGAGGTGCCATATTCAAATTTGCTTTTTATAAATTAAATTATGGCGATTTAAAAATCTGATATTAAATAGAGTAAGATGTGCATCATCAATGTATAATAGTGACAAAGTCTAAAATTCAATGGATACAAACAAATCAATTTGATTAAGTAGTTTAACGTAAATCACAGTCAAGACAAATTGATAATACAAGTTTAAAAAAATAGAAGCAAATTCTAACTTTAATTAAAATTTGTTGAAAATTATTGAATTTTAATGAACCTTGAAACAAATAACTTTACCAATCCGGACTTTACAATAGTTGCCTAATGTTCAACAAAAAGGCTTTTTATGTCTACGATTAAACTGGGGCTGTTTTTGTTCCATAGAACTGACCATATTACCACATAAGTAGAAAATTGCGCCTGAAAAATTGGACTTTTCTATTCAATCGATTATAGAATCTAAACAAGATTGTAAATATATTGGTCAACACTTGAAGCTTCTGTAACATCATAGAAAGGATTATTTTCTAGACAAAATATTGGAATTTTATTCGAGTTTCGTTAGGGTGGCCATCTTGCCGCACTTTCACTTACAACTAGCAACAACAACAAAATTATTAAACAAAATGTTAGTTTATTCTTTAATGTAGAATTGAAAAAACGCAACAAGAGTCATTTCAATACATACAAACGCCTTTAAAAAATCTCGAAGAATCGCCTTTTTTCGTGCTTCAGACTAGATATAACCCCTTAATTTTCAATACCTAATTCATATTCGTGCTTAGAAATATATTGAAATAACATACCAAACATGCCGAGATCTTCTTAAAATATTTTATTTTTAATTATTAATTTCTCTTACAATTCAACAGTTTGATTTTGTTTACTTTACCTATCTTCAACAACTCTTAACTTACATAGGGTGAATAAAAAATTCATAAAAAGCAACATGCATTTTCTATTTAAAAAATAACAGAGTTTTCATTGAAAACTGTAAACATCCCTGATTGGTGTAAATGTATGTAATTGGCTACATGTATTTCCATTACAACATACACAATCCATTCCTCACCTTAATCAGAAAATTATCTCGACATGTCAAAGGATGCTTCAGGGCTAACTAAAATTAAAAAAAACACATAGGGGAAATGTCGGCCTCGACAATACCTTAACCTATTATCGTCAGGGGGTAAATAAAGTCCTAGAGCACTCCAATTTGGCCAAAAGATGCTCTAAAAGACAATGTATCCACATACCGAAATTGAGCTCGCAAGGACGTTGTTTTCCCCTTTACAATAATAGAATAAGGTATTGCTGAAGCCGTCTTTTACCCTACGTGTCAACATTCCAAACGCAAATAGTTTACGCCTCCCCAACTCACCCGTACCTTATTTGATATCCCGTTGATAATCTCGGTACTGTTACCGAGCACAGACAGGAATTTGGATTTGATTGCACTCGGAGTTTTCCCCATGAATGACTTCAGCTTGGTTGCTCGGGCATCCGCAGCGGTTGCTCCATTGAGTGAACCGGACGTTTCCCCACTGGTCAGGTCATTCGGTTGACTGGCTCGATCCCTTGCCTTGGTGGCCATCGTCGAGGCAAACGCTGCAATATCCATTATCCGTTAGTTACTGGAGTGCACTTCGATTGATGGATTCCACTTGTAGACTGACAATCGCAGGATCAAGGATCAACCGAGGGGGTTATAAATAGAAAATAATTTTCGCCACTTGTACTGTACACGATTTTTCTCCTATTGTGTCGAGGTATCAATTTGCTGAAACACTTGGTTACATTGCTGGATATACACTCGAGAAGAGCTTTCCACTTTCACACTTTCTTCCTTCACACTCCCCGTTTTTGACTGCCACAGGGGAAAACTAAATTTATGTAATCCTCTCAAGGCTCACAACATTGAACTAATTTCTCATAGCTTTTCATCACACTTTGCCACTTGTTTTTTCCTCTTCTTTATGTTGTTACACAGCACCACGCGTTAGCTTTCGATAACTCTTCTTGTAACTTATTGAACTGGATAATGGGCGATATCCAAGAGTTGCTTAGGAAATGCCTACAGTACGACCGTCGGGAGTAGTGACCTTATAAAAATTTAAGCATTTAAAATAAGCTAAAACACCAAACTTTGCTCCACCTCAGAACATCAACCTAAAACCACAGTAAAACAAGCCATCTAACCTACGGGAGAGCTACGGAAAAACTGATCCAATGCGACGTTTTCCTTCGTGCTGCACCGAACGATAACCGGTTCAGGGTGGTACGGACGTGCTTTCCATTGGAAAGCTGCAGCCAATGTGGATTTACTGTCGGTGAATATGTTATGTACCACCACTATAACAGGAAACGATACTGCATGGTAGAGGTTCAAACCGATGATGATTTTGTATTGGTGATTGGTGGGAGAGGTGAGTAGTTCTGAAATTCAATGGAGTTGAGTACTGAACAAATGTGATACGCTTATGGGATATAGGCTTTATTAGGTTGATTTCAACACACGTAAGGCTGATAGAATTTCTCATAACTTCAACCTTTAACTGTAATTTGTCGCCATCCGACTAAATCCTTTGGGCACGTCCTCAGTTGTTGATTGAGATATTTATAAGCCATAGTTTCCGTATATTGTGAGGCAAGTATAACATATGCCCAAAGAAGTCGAAAAAATGTCCAACTCTTTGCGTTGGAACCAGGTAAAAATTGCACGACCAGGCAAAATTGGTGAGATTTGAAAAAGAAATCTAAATGTGTAGTGTAAAATGGGCTAAGATGCACCCTGGGATAAAAATACTTTTTGACAATTAAAATTCGAGGATTATTTAAGGAACAGTGCTAGTTCAATGACTTAACCAGCAATGCTGCATGATAAATCCACGAAAATATATTGAAAATGAATTCAAAATTTGCCAAAAGTCATCTTATCCCATCTTTCTCGAACGCCACACTGAAAAATGCAACCCATCCATCGGCACTGTGCTCTGCGTCGGAAAATCGGAAACCCTCCGACCGAAAACCGCATATACCGGAGCTAGCTCCAACACCAACATATTTTCCAAATCGGTTCACCCAGACCAGCACAAGACATGTTTGCATTCGCTGTTGACATTGCATTTTGTTTTCAACTGTCAATTCTACCACCCAACCGAAAGCCGGTGGGTGATGTGGGTGCAAAAGTTCCTTCACAAATACACACTCGCCAAGAAGCAACCAACCCCGAGCATATCAACACACATCGGCGGCATCGTCGAGTGGATATCGAAAGGCGTGGGAAGTAGGACAAAAACAAAAACATTAAACCGTTAAGACGACGATGGCTATAAATACGACGATAAAAAGGAAAAGCCCTACCGTGGCGTGCACGTCGTCGTCGTCCGCCGCACTTGAAAGCCCGATGTCGAAATAGAATTCGTTGTAAATATCAACAGCGAACCGCCACGTGGTAGCATTTCGTCCGCTGACAAGCATGGCTTCGGCGCCATGACCTCCCACTATTACGGTTGGTATCACTCTTCGCTTCTTAATTTGTCGAATCAAGCTAAATAATGGTAAATCCTGATGAATGTGGGCGTCTTAGTGGAATGCTGGTATAAAGAAAAAGGGAAGGATTAATAATTTCCATTTAATTCCACTACCTTATTTGCTTATCCTTGACAGATACGCATATTTCGTCTACAAAGTCTGCACAGTGTTGACGAAATACGCGTATCTGTTAAGGATAAGCAAATAAGGTAGCGGAATTAAATGGAAATTACTAATCCTTCTCTCTTTCTTTATAAATAATGGCAATTTGCTCCTTCAGCGATTGGTGGTATGTTGTGTATTCGATAGCTCATTATTTGAATCATGCGTGTAGTTTTGGGAATTTTTAATTTGTGTTCGATAATATTGTATGGAGGGAATTTATTTTTTCTCTGGTTCGCTGCCACAAGAGGGAAACTAGGTAGGTAGCTTGCATCCACCATCACGAATAGCGAGCTTGTGACACGGACCATTCTACAAAAGTCAACTAGTACGGTCCCCCTGGGATGAAACTTATGCAATTGATCAATATATAAAATCCAACTTAATATCATTTAGCAGAAAAAGAACACCATCAACCATTTCAATTGCATTAGGAAATCAGAATGTAGAAAATGTGAAAGAGTTAGGGATTTAGGGATTATCTTAGACTAACTTTCATAGACCATTACAATCCAATTATTCACAGGGCAAATAACATGCTAGGCTTAAACGCTTTTGCTATAAATTTCAGGATTTGCACAATTAAAACACTATATATTGTCTATGTGAGGTCAATACTGGAATATTGCAGCATTGTATGGTCTCCATTTCCAATCACGCACGAAGAAAGATTAGAATTAGTACAAAAGCATTTTCTACCATATGCCCTTCGTAAATTAGGTTGGACATAATTTCCTCTTCAACTGCACCGGTGTTGTGGGATAAAACAATTGCCAAAAAATACATTTTCAGTAGCTCCATCATTAGTTTTAAATTAGGTTTCTGAAGCAGAGAAGAAAGTGAAGATTGCATTTTATGATAAGGCAACAGGCAGTTGTTTTACCTGTCAGAAAACGGTACTTTAAATATTGAACAAAATGTTGGTTCATATGTCAACGAAGTAGGGGAGGTAGGGTATAACGATCATATGGGGTTAAGGCACCTCTTTGTTTTCCAATTTGGAGGACAACCCTAACATAAAATTACTTTACAGAGAGATTCGAATTTGAAAAAAAAAATCGCTCACGTTATTTTGATGTTATTTTGTGGGTGATTTACCACTCACTGACTGTAAAACATATCTGGTTCCTCTACATACGTAATTGGATTAATATCCAAAATTCCTCCTTCTTTACATATTCTGCGCAAAAAAATACTTTTTAAGCCCCGCCCCTGACAGGATTTCCCGGCGTTTTTTTTATGAATGAGGCAGGGCAGAAAATATCTTTTGTGTAGAATATGTAACAAGGATGGACTTCGGATGGATCAAAATCGAAGCTCTCTGGGCAGTAATCGGGTAAACAATTAATGGAATTAAACTTTTATTTTATACAACATTGTAGTTTGCTTAACAATTATTTATAGGAAAAAATTATCGTTAAAGTCCACGCTTTTTTCAGTTTGTCGTTATAGGAGAGGAGGGAGGGTTATTTTGCATAAAATTGTCAATTTTAAATAGGTCACTATTAAAATTTCACCGATTGCCTACAAAAAGCGCTTTCCCAAACACAGATTTCAAAATCTAATTCCATCCTATCTCACCCGTTTTTATGTAAAACCTAACATTTAAAATCTCAAAATTCATACGTGAGATTATTGGCCTATAAGTTTTGCCCAACGAAATTCAGCAGCGGAAAAATCACCGATGAATTTTTCGGTTCAAACAATAATTCCTTTATATTTTGACGATATTCAGTGTTCGAAGTGTTATTTTGGCACTGTTTGTTGAAAAATTAACAAAAATATTCATGTGCATGCCATCAATTGACGTTTGACCGGATTTTATGAATTTTGAGATGGAACTATTTTTTGGTGATGTGACATTTGACCAGAGACATCGTGACACTCTGATTAAGAAGATTATATTATAGAAGCTTTTTATGGAAGCTAATTCTAGACGCTTACCCGTCGCTTCGCACTTCTAACTCAAAAAAACACGGGTATGTCAGTAAATTTAAGTAATGGAACATCTGTTCAAGGCTCATGGAACAAAATCAAAATGTGAGTGTCCAATACATGAACAGTATATATCTAATTTTTGGATCATGCCTATATTTTTAGGAGCGCAAACTTGATTTTCTATGGATCACTTTCATTAGTTTAAGGTTCATTGCTGAATGTTTTATGCATGGACCCAAAGGGACCTTTGGGTCCATGGTTTTATGGATCATTTGCAATATGTGTATGGGTAATTCGTACAATTTCAATGCTCATTCATTAGATATTTAGCGGTACATTTTTACAATTGTGTTGCTAAATTTTACTAAAAATATGGATCATATTGATATTTTTTATGGATGAACATTTTAAGGGATTTTCACTGAGGTTTTATGGATCATTTGGGTGTTTTTTAAGGAGCGTTTTTAAATTTGCTACGTTTCATTTATTGGTTTTTGTATTCAAAAGTATTTTTGCCATACATTATTGTGTGCGTTATCTCACCGTCATAGTGACCGTGTTAAACATTAATGGTGGTATGCTTCAAGACACACACTTTTTTTTTTTGAGATTCCAACAGCCGAGTAGTATTTATTTAGCTGAAATTCAGTAAAAAAAATTGCCGAGACTCAGCTAGCAAACTAGATTTAGATAGCCCTGTATAAAATATCAGTCAAATGTTGGAATACATCGAACTGATTTAACTTGATTTCAGTCAAGCAGCGCCGGTGGTGTAGTGGTAAGCGTGATTGCCTCTCACCCCAGCAGTTCTGCGTTGAATCCCAGCCAGCGCCACTGGGAAGTTCTGAGGCATAACATCCCTGATCACGGTAAGTAAAGCCGTTGGTTCCCGGATCATGAGTTGATGGGTCGATATGTAGGGTCCAGGTGTGGGAGCTGCCTCTCTGGCTTCGGTAGTATTGATGCTCAGCACGGAAAATAAATCAAGGAAAAAAAACCTTGATTTCAGTCGATTATTTGACAGTTCTTCCGCTCAGGACCATTAACAAAATGTAAACCGTCTTGAAGCATACTTTTTATGATCATCTAGCAATACATCCAAGGACGTAGCCAGGATTTGAAATAAAGGGGAGGTACAATACAATTTGAAAATGAAGGTTTACGCTAGATACCAACAGGCTAAACGCCATTTGGCCGAATGTGATTAGGCCGAAGGGGGGAGTAATTACAAAGATAGCAAAATGTATCATTTCTCTTCGCAGTTTTTTTTTTCAGAAAATCTCTGAACTCTCCTCAAAATTCACCTAGAGCTCTTCTCACAATATCCTAGGAGCTCTTCCTATATTTGACTTGAAGTACCATTCAAAATTCTTTTAAAGTTATTTACAAAACTCCCTTCGGATTCTTCAATGAAATACTTTGGTGTTAATAATAGAATTTATTCAAATAACACCTCAAAATTCATATGGAAATTTCAGCAAAATTCGTCCAATTGTTCCTTTAAAGTGACTGCATCATGGAAATCTAGTTAAGTGTCTTAAATAGTTTCAAGGTCAAGAATATTATTTATATTCTTGAGAGAGAGTTAAATTTTTTTTCCAGATGTATTCAGATGTATTCCCGGTATTTCGCCTGGGGATTTCAGATTTTTCTCCAATTTTCCGAATTACTGGTCCGCCTAAAATTTTAAATAAATGCAGCAATTTTATCCTCAACGCCAGTATGTTTAAAATGTTAGGTCATGTATTCAAGTTTCAAGTTTTAATTTCTTGAACCATTGCAAATTTATATCAAAGGGTTGGAATTATAATTTATTTGTTTTTTTTTTATTCTGGGGACAATTTTGGAACTTCGATTAGTTTTTAAGACCTTAGGCTGAGAAAATTAAAAATAAAATTCTGAGTTTGCTAAACTTTTTTAAGATCCCACATTTGATAAAATGTTCAGCATGTACTGGTGTTTTGAAAGTGCTTCATGCATAAGAAAATTTTGAAGATTCTGGGCTGAGATTGTTTTCAATGATAGTTCTGTAACATTTAAAAAGTATTGAATTCCGAACTAAAATATTAGTTTTACGCTATCAAAGTCATACGTGAAATTTACGATTTCAGGACTACGAGAAAATGCTAAACTAATATCAACATGAACCCTTTAGTGCGATCATTTATTAGCTATAGATAGTTTTATAGCAGTTTGGAAATTGAACAGTAGTTGAAATTGTGTGAGGGGCCATTAATGTGACAATACTAATCAAATGCGCATTCTTTTGCCTAGCTCACTTCTCCTATGCCTTGTGACTTGGTAAGTTTATTGAGATCAGAGTTTATGAAAAATCCTAGATCTCACACTAAGAAGACAAAGAGACTATGATTTTGATTTTTAAGATGCAAAGTAAAACTATTTTTTTGCGTAGGATTTTTACATAACCTGGAAATTGGAACGAGAAAAAAAAAACAAAATTTCAGTGAATATCAGCTCTAGAATTAGACCAATTTTTACAATTCAATGGAAATTTCCATACATCCAGTTTAAGAATTGCTCCCCGAATAATTATTAGAGGTTTGTTGGAGCACTAAGTCCTCCGCTAAGCACAGTCTGTAAACCACTGCACAGAGGTCCAGAACCATAGCTCCCGAGTATTAATTTTGGAATCATGATTTTTCCCAGCACCAATCAAGATTCCAATAGACGCATGCATTGAATCTATATTTACAGGCTTGAATGAAGTGTCATAGCCACCTTCAGCATTCGCGTATTTTACAATAGTTTCAATAATGCTGCGGTCCATGATCACTTCAAACGCATATTTAGGCGTGTTAATTTTCTCTATATCAACAGTGAATTTTTTATTACTGACGTGATTATGCCGCACAACTGAACTGATATGTCACACGGTTTTGGTTCTTGTTGAGAATTGGCCACTTCCCCGGGGGCACCGGGACATGCTTGGGAGGGTTAGTGTGAACATGGACTCTCAATAAGACCATTACTGGCCAAGATTTGTCAAATCGTGAAGTTTGATATGTCGCATAACGTGTTTTGGTTCTTGTTGAGAATTGGCCACATCCCCGGGGGCACCGAAACATGTCTGGGAGGGCTAATGTGACCATGGACTCTCAATAAGACCATTACTGGCCAAAATTTGACAAATCATGAAGTTTGATATGTCGCATGATGGGTTTTGTTTCTTGTTGAGAATTGGCCACTTCCCCGGGGGCACCGAAACATGTCTGGGAGGACTAGTGTGACTATGGACTCTCAGTAAGGCCATTACTGGCCAAGATTTGTCAAATCGTGAAGTTTGATATGTCGCACGATGGGTTTTGGTTCTTGTTGAGAATTGGCTACTTCCCCGGGGGCACCAGAACATTCCCGGGAGGGTTAATGTGACCATGGACTCTCAATAAGGCCATTACCAGCCAAAATTTGTCAAATCATGAAGTTTGATATGTCGCATGATGGGTTTTGGTTATTGTTGAGAATTGGCCACTTCCCCGGGGGCACCAGAACATGTCTGGGAGGGCTAGTGTGACCATGGACTATCAATAAGGCCATTACTGGCCAATATTTGTCAAATCATGAAATTTGATATGTCGCACGATGGGTTTTAGTTCTTGTTGAGAATTGGCCACTTCCTCGGGGGCACCGAAACATTCCCGGGGGGGCTAGTGTGACCATGGACTCTCAATAAGGCCATTACCGGCCAAGATTTGTAAAATCATGAAGTTTGATGTGTCGCATGATGGGTTTAGGTTCTTGTTGAGAATTGGCCACTTCCCCGGGGTACCGGAACATCTCCGGGATGCCCAACGTGATCATGGACCATCGGTATAGCTGCCATTGGTCCAATTACATCATTTGAGAGAAAAAACTTGATGTTCATCGTGTGTATTCTTATTACAGAAAAGTAAAGCCGAATGTCGACCGGAATAACTCCGGAACCATGTATTGATCCAAATATTTTCAGATGGATTCAAAAATTTCAATAGATTCCCGACAAAATGCAATTTCTTGTGAAGAAAAAGATTGAGCAATTATGTTTTTAGAGCTAATTGAATTTTGAAATCTATGCCAATTCAGACGTTAGGCACGCAAAGGTTAAGGGTAACCTACATCAGATCCAGATTTGACATATTGCGAAAAAGTTACAGCTAAATCTCCTCAGAATTCCCCTTGGAAATTCCCCCTCATAATTCCTTGAAATTTCCCTCACAAAACAATGCATGCGTGTTTAAAATACAAAACACTGAATTCTCTAGCAATGCTACCAATGATTTTTTAAATTGCCATTCAGAGGTCCTTTAAATAATTCCATGTTTCCGGTTCTCCTCCTCTAATTGGTTTTAATTATTTTCCTTTTGAACTCTTTTTGGGATTTCCTTAAAAATCTGCTCAGAATTGCTTTGGAATAATGTTTAAGATTTTCATAGATTTTTTCCTTTATTTTGATTTTATTTAACAACCGGATTATTGTTAGTTGCTTACGGTAGTGGAATCGTTCAAGGAATTGTGTGCTTATTCTTACGTACACTAATTTACTACTGCTACCACTGCCAAGGAAATGAAAAATTCCTTTGGAATTTTTCACAAAATTCATCGAAGTTCCAGAGACTAAAAAATATCAAAATTTTAAGAAATTTCAACTATTCCAAATTTTTTTAAGTCCGAACAGCAAAAAAATAATGTTGATATCACATCAAAGTCGATGCACTTCAATCGTGTGAAAAATATGGTGTAATATTACTTGCCAAAAAGGACAACATTATCATTAATACAGTGCATGAACTGACATTGCATTTGTTTATTTTTGTGGCCATAAAAATTACATGAGATTTTCGACATGATTGAAGTGCATCCTCTTGGATGTAATATTAAAATTTATTTTTTGCTGTCTGTGTAAGCTGGATACCATTCGGTCTGGTGGCCATTCGCCCTAATCACCAATCGGCTTAATGAGTATTCAGCCGTTCGGCCTATGACTATTCGGTTGGCCGGACACTTTTCAAACGGATTGATAGCTAAATGTACACACTCAGAAATTACTGTTACTAAACGTGGTGTAATTCAACTTTCACCTAAATTATGAATCATTAACAAACATGCCACGTAAAATTAAGTGTTCCATAAACGAAACATACGCAACTCGTTGGAAAGAGCGTGTGATTAAAATAAAATTCTAATTATTTTGACCTGATTCATAAGTCATGCGGGCCACTTGCATCCCATATTTTCATATGATTATTTCCGTTTTCGGGACGTTCATCCCCGGGAAAATTGCAAATCCTATTTTCTAACAATGCATTGGTAACATAGTTTTCTATTATTTATATATGTGGTTCAATAAATTAAAAGTAAATATAAGTAAAGAAGTTATTTATGCAAATGTAAACAAACTTTACATCTTAAAACTATTTGTTGTGATACAGCCGAGAGTGATATAAATGGAGTATGAAAAAATCTAAATATATGATTTCTTACTGTAAAAGTTTCGGATGGAAACCCATGCTTTCATTATGTGCACGTTACAGCAAGTGCATTTCGGGAAGCTATTACAAATGCAAAGCTAATTTACAATTTATGAAATGTATTCTTTTTGAAATAATTGGCATCAAGATTCACAATTATTGGAAGAATTACAATTTTAACCCTATTGCATTGATAATTGATAATTCGGCACTATTTTCAGCGCGTTTCTGGACTAAATTGTGAAAACATAAACAGTATTAAGGTCTTATTCAGGCTGATGCAATAATTTCACAATATTGAAGGGGCACAAAACATCAGCCCTATTCAAAATCGTTATTCACTCTGCGCTTTTTTTTCTAAAAATTCGAAAAATGTCATTCTTAATTTATTAATTTATTAAGAATTTATTAACTAAATAATTTATTTTGTTTTCGTCCATTGTCATGTATGGTTTGCTTCCCCCTCAAACTATTTGAGTGATACATTATTTAAAAGAAAAACATTTAAAACACGCTTCTTAAACAGGCACAAAAGCACCATTTATTTTGAACGTTAACAAACTAATTCGGTTCCAGAAGCATTGAACAAAGCCATTGTTACTTTACTTCTATGACAGCACCGTTCCAGATGTTGATCATGTATGCATAACCGAATTCCAGTAGAATCCCTTAAATCGATCGACCACTTCACAACGTTAGTTGTATACGTACTTTTCCCCAACAGAACCAAAAGAAAATCGCCCGCTGACGGAAAACTGAACGAAACCACCTTTGTCACATTTTCCTTCTCGCAGACCACGCAGCAAAGATGACGGCAACTTGACGACGATCGCGATCAGTCAGTTTCGAGACGTCTGGGCGTGCGAACCTCGTTCGGTTGCGGTCCCACGGGGTTATATAAAATTTCTTAGGAAATTGTTGGAAAATTCACCGGTTTCACTCCGCTAACCAATAGTGCATTGTTCAACAATCACCCGTTAGGTGTTTTTCGCACTGGAAAGTGTTGGAAAAGTGTGAAAAACCTGATAAGAAAAATCTCTTTTCGCAACCATAGGCCAAGAAGAGAAAAGTTATTTTTATTAATATAGTGCTCCCGGGAATGTACTGCGGGTTTATAAGATGAGTGTAAGTGTGTGTACAGGTTTATATAAATAGAATGCCGATTTTCACCATAAGATATCGGTTTAGAGCAAAATTTCAGTGGAAAACGCAGCCGAAAGTGTACGCTTTTACGCAAATCGTGTGGATTCTGGAATTGAGATTCTAACCGCTGCTTTTCTCTGATGGGTGGTTTTATCTCTGCGCATGTGGATGTATTTTAGGCCAACGAATCAGTCTGCTGCAATTCGAAGAGAATGCGGAAAATGTGCGTTATAAAATTACACTCGCCGGGAAAACATGTGAATGTAGCGAAACGTGGTGGCTAAAGCTTTGATCTTGGAGATGCGAGAGAATTAGCTCAGCCATGCAGATCCATGACAGCTGAACAAATATTGCATAATATCGAAAAGGAGAAAACCTCTACCAATTGCAGAGGTGTTGTAAACTTTTTTTTTAGTAAAAAAAATACTCGGAGAAGAACAGGAAGAAGATATTTCACAAATGCCATTTTCATCAGGGTACGGAAAATTGCCGGTCCGTTCTTGTGTGAGTGAATGTTTGTGGAAAACGACTTGACAGTCACGGCTTGAGACGACGCTGACCATGTGAAAACGAAGAAGAAGAGAAAAAAAAAGACTTTTATGAAGTGGTGACAAATGTGAAAGCAGCCAAAAGTGTAATTTCTGTTCCGTCATTTGTGACGGCAAACCGACGACTGTGGCGCTGAGAACGACAGCAATGGATTTTGCAACAGCAGACTTTCTGAACTTCTGAAAGTGCAAGGTTTAGTTCAAACGAAAGATAGAGAACCATCTAAGCGTGAATCGTCTGCAGTATCGAGTTTTGCGAGATACTTAAATTGCTAAATATAGGTAGTGAGTTTTGGAAACTCACGTGTGCTGAACACGGTTGAGACAAACTCCTAGTACAAGACATGTTGAAATCTATATTAAGATTAAGTTTAGTATCAAATACAGAACGTTAATTTAAGTATGGCGTAATTGTCGCAAATGGTCGGTGTTCTAAAAAGTGTAACACCTATGGCCCTTGGTATATTTGTACTAGTACTTACTTTACCTTACATTACCAGTCAGGCTAAGGTCTGGGTGTCCTTTACTGTACACAGAAGTCGTCTCCATTCCACCTAGCTGATCTATGATCGATCCACATTGCCCGATGCACACCGCTTCCGCTCGTTCCAATTCGTTTCGATATCGAGATTCATTTTCACCCTTTTCACCCGACTGTCGTCCAACATTCTTACTACACGGACGATGATACCGACTCAAAATTGAGTTAAATTACAGCATTTCCAGCCCAAAACGCAAAAAAAATGTCAGTTTTGTCTCGACCCCTTCCGATTTGCATGAAACATTGGTCATATGTTCGATGCTACCAACGGTTGCATTTTTCGTCTAAATATGGTTTTCTTCTCTAGAGTAACTTATGAAAGAGGCGTATTCAAAAAATGGTTCATACATTTTCAAAAGAATCATAACATGAAAATGATTGATCTGACCAAAATGACATTTCAGAAAAGTTGTAGGTCATTATAAGTTCTTTGAAAAAATACACTGAAAGAAAAAGCTTAGTAAATTCATTGTAAAAGATATAAAACGTTGATTTTCTCAAAACACTCCCTTAAGTTTTTATTTATATTTTGTTTGCAAAGAAAGTTGAAGTAATGTCCTAAAATTTTATGACGTGTGTAAACTGGTAACTTACTTCAAAATATTCTATATTTTTTATTTTTTGTTAATTTTTACAATTTAATGAAAATAAATACTTATTGGTAGCATAATAGTTTAATTTGGATCTACGCATCTTTTTTGATAAATTTGCCTTCATAAACTTTTATTTTCTAAGTCCAGCCATTCTCAAGTTAATGCGAATTTAAAAAAATGATAATTATGGATTTTCAACCTTTTAGACCATTTTCAAATGTTAGTCGCGATGTCCAGCAACAAAATATGCTTCCATGATTGTATTTAAAAAAAAACAAACAATTCATTCTCAGATATGGTGGTTGTCTGACTTACCCGTTTATATTTAAGCGCAGAGAAACAAGTTGATACATCAAATAAAAGATTGGTATCGGTAAGATAGATTTCATGTTTTTCAATTTTTCTTAGATTAATGCGTCATCTGGACTATATACCTAAATGGATATATAAAGTGGCAAAAAAAATGCATTCATTCGAAATTAATTTATGGGCCCAATATTGGGGACACTTATTCAACATTAGGAGCATTAGCCCTATTCGAAAATATTTTTTTTCTATTTGCCTACTAACGACGCTAAGCTTGATAACTTTGAACTAATCAGACACCATTTTGTAAATCTTATCCTCCTGAAATATTTTGTCGAGTCTCCAGATATGACATATGCATAGACAGTAGGTTTGCCAAAATAACATTTTGTCTTGAATCCTAGGGGCTCTCTCTTCAAATGAATGCTTAGGGTGTTAGAACGAAACTTTCTATGACGACAAATGTTGCTTAGGAGATACAAATTTGAGTTTTTAAATAAGTTCTTTTTTTCTTAGCTTATTAAAAAAAATATTTGTAATTATTTAAAATCTAGTGAAACATTACTCTTTTTTATTTTTTACAGATTCCCTAGAGTTTAAATTAGAAGAAAAATTGTCACTGCTTGGTCAAATTTATTTTATATTTTATTCAATTATCATGAAAGATTATTTTTTAGGTATAGAGCAGCTCCAGGCAAAAGACCTTCTCGGGTTTGTATGAAACTTTGCGTAATTGTTTGTTATGGGCAATGATTCACATTTTTGATAAAATTCGGCCATTTTGGAACTTTTAAAATTTTCATAATGGCATCCTCGACACAAATGATTACAAAAAATTGTAGCACAGAAACGGCATTTCTGATCGAAATGACGACTGAGACAAAGTTGTTGAGAAAAATAATGTCTTCCTCGAAAAAATAAATAGAACATTTTTTGTTTCAGTAAAAATCATAAATTTGTTAAAAACTCAAATATCTCAAAATGTTCTTGCCCGATTTTTTAAATTTTGTTAAAAAAAAAGGATATGAAAAATGCAAACTTTTTGAAAGTTAAAAACCATGGACACTTGAAACTGACAACTTTTAACTTTTTGCAAGCTCGCTATTTTGTGTATTTTTCACAGAAAATGTTTAAAATGTCTTAAAAGTTGTTGTGTGAGCATAAATAACATAAAAACAAATTAACAAATACTGTAAAACGGGGTAACATTGATAGTTTTTTTTTAAAGTATATTCTAAATATTTTTATAGCAATGACTGTTTTTCAAATTTTATATTTTTAAAACAAGTACTGAGGATCCAAGAGTTAATTGGTTAGTAATATGTTTAACGAAAATCAATGCATTTGCACTATTTTTTTAGTTTTGTGACCGATCTTCAGTATTTTGATTTGGGGTTACTTTGATAATGCTCGATGAATGTAGAAAAAAATGAGTGAAACTCAAACAATTTAGTTCTTTAAATATGGTGGGGTGCTCACCCGGAAGACCTCATTAAACTATATAAAACGACTATTCTTTCAGTTCTTGAGTATGGCTCTTTTTGTTTCCTCTCGGCAAGAAAAAGCCACCTAATCAAATTGGAACGTATTCAATATCGTTGTTTACGTATTGCCCTTGGCTGTATGCATTCAACACACAATATGAGCCTAGAGGTCCTAGCGGGCGTAAAACCCCTGCAGAACCGTTTCTGGGAGCTCTCACTAAGAATATTGATTAAATGTAGCGTCAGTAACAACCTTGTGATTGAAAACTTCGAAGAAATGCTCGAATTGAGCATCCAGTCTAGATTCGTGCGAATCTATCTTAATTATATGTCATCGGATATTAGCCTTCCTTGCTATAACCCCTCTCGTGTATGCTTTACTAACTACAGTTCCCCCATTGACTATGATCTCTCCATGAAACAGGCTATTCAAGGAGTTCCAGATCAACTTCGACCTATCTCAATTCCCCGCATTTTTGCTGAAAAGTACCAACAAGTCAATTGCAATAGAAGATTTTTCACTGATGGATCACGCATTGATGGATCCACTGGCTTCGGCGTCTTCAATGAATACTCAACCGCCTTTCGGAAACTTCAGGAACCTTGTTCCGTTTATGTTGCTGAGCTAGCAGCAATCAACTTCGCATTGGGGATGATTTCCGATATGCCCATAGACCATTACTTCATCTTCTCGGATAGTCTCAGCTCGATGGAGGCTATTCGGTCGATGAAACAATGAAATTTCCTTTCAAAGGTAAGGGAGCAGATGAGTTTGCTGGTCGAAAGATCATATATGATTACCTTTGTATGGGTCCCCTCACATTGCTCAATCCCAGGCAATGAGAAGGCAGACTCTCTCGCAAAGGTGGGCCACAACAAGGCGAGATTTATGATAGAAGAATTTCACATGATGAATTTTTCCCATTAGTACGTCAGAGTTCTCTTTTAAGTTGGCAAAACGATTGGACAAATAATTCTCTTGGGCGGTGGTTACATTCCATTATTCCAAATGTTTCTTCGAGAGCGCGGTTCAATTGTCTGGATGTAAGTCGGGGATTCATTCGAGTGATGTCAAGACTTATGTCCAACCACTTCTCGCTAGACGCACATCTCTATAGAATAAACCTCGTTGACAGCAATATATGTAGGTGCAGAACCGGTTATGATGACATCGATCACGCAGTTTGGTATTGCCCGGGTAATGACGCCTCCAGAGCACGACTATTGGATACCCTAGTGGCCCGAGGTAGACAACCCTTCCGTGAAGTAAGAGATGTATTGGGAACACGTGATCTTCCCTACATGCAAGCGATCTACGAATTCCTTTGTTTGTCTGATGTTAGAGTTTGATGTGACTATTCCCTCCTTTCCAAACAATTTCCCGCCATTGTGTCCCAGTCTTATTATCCTCCTGTTCCTGTGCTACTTGCCCCTGCCCAGTCAGGATTTGGTCAACCGTTCGAGAGTAGTATCTGAAGGAGGCTTCAGAAACCAGTTTCCTACCTAGATC